ACAATATGGAGTAAACAGTACTGATTATAAACACGGGGAGGCTTTCAAAACGGTCTCATACGCTCGATTGTGAATCTGATCTCTGTCTCTGTCAGAAATAAGACATGTGATAGAACATGTATGTGCAAGTACTTGAAGAAGAATCCCCAAGAGTCTATCTTTCTTTTCGACTATTGTGAATACGAGGTGAATTATTTTCCTATTGTCGTCCTGTGCCACTGCCAACAACATTATTTGTATATATCTTCCGTACAACCAAGTGTCATCGATCTGAACCATCGACTTGTAACGTCGAAATGTATTAACACACAGCGAAAGTGTCCAAAATAGCAGGTGAAATTGGCACGCACCTTGTACGACACGATCGTTTTCATACTCCAACATAATTTTCAGTTTGACTACCTTGCCCAATATGTATTTCTTCATCAGTTTTAGCCATGGCCGCAACTTTTTGTATGATTTTTTCCATTGGCAATACATTTTTTGTTGAGCATGATACATGGCGTACCATGCTTTATGGTAATTAATAGTAGCCATACTAGGATATGATTGCAGCAATACAACTGGAAACCAAAATACATGGATTTGCTTTAACTAGTGGTATAAAGGCATCGCCAAATATGTGAACATCTAAGTTTGGATGATCCTGAGATAGCCTGTTGGTGGTGTATGTATGAGGTTGTTCGTATTTTGTTAGCCCCCATAGGTTGTTCAACCTCTTCAAGCGTGATACACAAACCTTCCAATTATATTCGTTGAACTTGTGGACGCATTCAGCCACATATTTATTTGCGGTTGTTCTTTTACTGTCGACATAACCGAGTGGTGTATATTATAGTTTTAATTGCAGCCACAACGAGTTTTTTTGTTCTGAATGTCATTCCAAGATAGAGCTCACTATCACCATGTTCGTTGTATTGATCAAGCTACGAGAATTTTGAAAAGTCCAGAGTGTTTAAAGGTTTCATCTCAACTATTGTGAAATGGGATGGTGGCTGTTAATAGGAAGCAGAAGGGAGACATGTGGAATGTCATCATCAAACACTCCCTCTAGCATGTTAAGGTCCTCTGGTTCTTCATTGAAAGGGCTCACCTCGTCACCATATGGGTCAATCTCCCTTAATGGTTATTTGTCGGAAGTGTCCCCATCAAACCGGAATAGTTCAGTGTTATCGACTACGGGGATAACAGGAGTATCACCTATACATCGATCATGAGGCCCCTTACGAATCCTACTACGAGGATCAAAGTCTACAGCAACAACACAATAATGTCTCCCCATAGATGTTAGTAAATCTTTGAATGGGTCAAATGCTTCATCTTATTGCAACCTCATTTCCTACTGAGAATATGATGCACACACACCACTGTTGTATGGATTGTATGTTTTAAGTTACATATTCAAATCAAAGTTTAAGCTGGCGACACAAAAACACCTTGGCATCGAAGAAGATGATTCACCAAACGTCATTGCCTCAAATAGTAAAACTCAATAAGTTCATTTCATTGTGTAAATTAACAGTCAGACTATGAACATTGAGATCAAAGTCAAAATCCGACCGTCTCCAATTTGAGACAACAATAACATCATTATCATATGAGAAATCTGTATACACCTCAAGTGGCCCTCGTAATGAATATTGTATGTGTCAATCAATCATCATGTCTTCATAACCATCATTGTCAATGTTGCATATTGAGTATGTTAGTGGTTCTAACAACGTCGACAGTCGATACTTCAACGTGCACAGTTTTTCCTGTGACAATTTGGAACAATATTATTGACTTATTTTGTTAACTTCTTATGAGTTAATTTCTTTGGAAATGTTATCGTCACAGTATGTGCGGACTGAAAGACGATGCCAAGAGATTCATCAGACATTATTATGCCATTATAGTATACCAAAGCAGTAACAGTTCCTCTCCTTGACATGTTTCGAAAATATATACGATCATGCAAAGAGAAGACCAAAAAATGCAAAAAATGTCAATGCTTTCAAACTATATAATAATCAAGAAGCATCAAATAAACTTACAAATGAGATTGAATTGATCATGCTGATCAATTCCCTTCTTTGCTTTAACATTGTGTCTGTAGTTTGCTCCTTCATCACTGTTTGTTTGAAATACGAATTAGAATGGAAGTCTCATTTTTTTAGTAGAATAGCTTGTTGATGAAATGTGGAAGAGAATTGGTCGGCCTGTAGAGAATATTCCTGACGTGGCATGAACCTCGCGTTTTACAAAACGCGAGTTTTGGAGATTTATGATGTGTCAACAATTGATTTGACATAGTGGTTTGACGTGCATGTCGTGTTTTGCTCAGATATTCCTAACTTTCAACAATAGATATTCCCGATTATATTTGCCTATTTAAATTCCTCTTGCTCCACTGAACCAAAACAAACAATCTCCATGAAATCTGCTTGAAAAACTTCTAGTTTAAAAAATGTATACTCTTTTGGTTTCATCGACAATTTCTTTTGCATACTTCTCGAAATAGTGATGGGTTTTCCCCTTTGCATTTTGTACCCACGGTACCAAGAACAGTGTTAAGGCATCATTTTCTGGTGGCATCTAGATTTCTGTCTAGGCCTTCCGAGAAACTTATTCCTCTATGAATTAGGTTCAGGCAAACATCTTTTGGGAAATATTCTGAGCTTTTTCCTTTGTGCTCAATACTAACCGCACGAATAAAAAATACAGTTTTCCTTTGTGTTTCTCTAGCGTGACAATATCCATTTATTATGGAAGGCAACATCTATTTCTCATTTCACCTCTTATGTGCTAAAATTAAAATGTAAAAATTACTTAAATTATTTACAATTTCTCATATGTGTTCACATTAGTTTCAATTGAAATAGAAGTTGCAAAACTACACTTGTAAGCTCAAACATTTTCATAAATGTTTCGTTTAATATCTCAGATTACTCAACGGAAATTTCTATGGACCCATTTTTTAGCTTTGGGGTTTTTAAAATAATAACTATATTTGGTACAAATTTATTAATTTTATGATGGTTTAATTTAATAATAATGTCATTATATTTGATTTACAATTAAAACCTTGCGTTTTATGAAAAATGAGACATATCTCGCTTCTTATGGAACGCGAGTTCCTTCAAAACTGTTAAATTTTATTCAATTTAAAGCACTATGTATTTCCAAAGATACCTTATGTCATGGGAAAAGTGAGGTCCATCAAATCCTCGCTTCGGGATGGGTGCGAGGCTTGTTATAAATAGGGGCCCATTTTGGAAGGTTTCCCAAATCGATTTCAAAGCAAAATGCAAAAAAAAAGTTTTTCAATATTGTCGAATTCCTGATAAAAGTCTTAACAAAAATTCTACTTCATGTTGCTTCTAACTTCATCATCGATTTTGTCAACGCGCAGTTGAGTTGTAAGAGTTTTCTTGAAGTTGCCTATTAGGATTACATTTTCGAGAACGTTTCTATGAAGAATATTAACATCATGTCATGGGATCAAAACTAGAATGTGGGAACAAATTCGGACTTCGACCTACATTGTTTGAAGCAAGCAGTCGATAAAACTCACTTTTTTGCCATATATGTCTATAGCCTTATTCTAGTTTGTTCAGGTGGCGAATCGAGGGATGAAAGACTTCGAATCGTGAGAGCTCTTGATATCACAAAAATAAAATTACTACCTCTTTGTCCGAAGATGAATCATTTTTTACATTTACAATTGTGGTATCGTCACCATATTGTCTTCCCATAACAAATCGAAGACTGCAGTAATCCTACCAATTGTGCACGTAATTTAGACTTCCAACGTTGACACCAACATTATGACAATCTATGTACTTATTATGTTTCTTGTTTTTTGAACCACAAAACAAGTTTATTTCGTCAAGTTATACATGACTATCACATTCACTATTATTAATGATTATTTATATAACAATATACTTTTTAGAAATATAATGTACATATTTTATATAACGTAGAGATTATGTAATTTTTTTAAATTAAATATGATTTAATCAAGAAATGATTAAATCTAACACTTAAATCAAAATTATTAAATTTAATTCTAAAAAGCACAACATGCCTCGCTTCTTGGAAGATGCGAGGAACATTGAATACTTTCGCGATAAATTTTTCGGGACGGTTCAATATCTCGTAGACCTCGCTTTCGGGGAAACATGAAGTATTAAATAATCATATTAAATTGGATAATCTGAAAATTGTATGGTACCTCACGTTTTGTAAAATACGAGATACATTCACGCGTTGAATAAGATACGAGTTAGTCTTATGTGTGTATAAAAAGAGATTATTTTTTTCTAACAAATCTACAGGGGTTATTGTTTAAAAAATAATTAACATGAGTTTTTAATTTAATAACGGCTAAAAAAAACTCTACAAAAGCCGTTAGCCTCCGAATTAGAACATCAAAGGTCAAAGGCTGCTATTACCATCCACTCAATCTCATATCCACCTCACACCTGTCTACTCGCCTGATAAGACAATGGGATCCACTCAATGTCCGAATCTCCACCTACAGGCGAACGAACAGCAAAGGTGCTAAAAAAAACATACAGGCTTGAACCAATCATATCTCTCCACCTCACCTCCAGCAGCAATCAATTTGCTTCTCCCCCAAGCTGATTGTTTAACACGTGTCCTTTCCCAACGGCTATTTTTCAGATTAACCGCCAAATGCAGCAATATTAAAATTTATTATATCTCCCGACACGCACGAGAGAGCGGAAAAAATAAAAAGGAAACAGGTTTATCATTTTTTATTTGAAATCATCGAGTAGTTTCTAGATTTGAAAAAAAAAAAACTAAAATCGCCTATCAATATTCTCTCATTTTAAAATATAAAATGCCCTTTTATCGGAAGTTGACATTTTAAGAGCGAGTTGGCAGAACAAACAAGCAGTTATATTCTCTCAATTTTCAGGGTTCTATCTCATCTCTACGTCTAAAACAAAAATCTAGGCTTGGAAGTCTCTGTTTGAATTTTTGGAGAAATGGGTTTGGGCAGAGTACGCCGTTCGTATTCACTGAACTTGAAACGCGGAGTAATTGAGGAGGAAGAGTCACGGCTAGGGTTGGTTAGATGTAGGCTTGGATTAGGGAGGAAGAGGGTCGGGATTTCAAATGAGATGGAGGAAATGACGCCTGCATCCAAAGTTCCATTGTTGAAAAGGCAATGCAGCGAGAGGTTTCTTATGATACTGACGCCTGATGATTTCCATCAAAAGTCTGCCCTCCAATCACTTCCTCAAGACCTTCTTGTAAGTACCTAATAAAAACCCAAAGCTTCGCTTTTTTCATTTGTTACTTCCTGTTTGTGGATTCCGACTTGGTTGTTTTTTTGTTTTCCCCCTTGCAGATTAGGATTATTTGTGGTGTCGACCACGAAGATTTGAAGCAACTTTTCAATGTTTCTAAATCAATCAGAGAAGCTGTGAGTATCGGAAATCAGTTTAATTTGGATTGTAAAATTGTTCCATTTATTGATTGACACTATTTAGTCTGATTCTGACTTTGATTGTTCTTCTCTTTTCTTCCTCAAGACTGTCATTGCAAAGCAGTTGCATTTTGCTCATAGCACACCGAGGAAGGTGAAAGCTTTTCGAACATCCATAGACTTGGAGGAATCAAGTGAATTGGACGACATTGAAGCTCCAAATGCACCAAGGCAAATGAGGTCTCATACGTCCATCAACAGGAAGAAACTCGCTGATATTTCAGTGGCACTATTTGCTTGACACGGAAGAGATTGTAGATATAGTTTGTAGTAGCCAGAACATTAGTTGTTGTAGATTAAAAAGGGGATTGATTAGTGGATCTGGTCGTCGGGTCTTTGTCCGTGGGTAAGATTCTTGACAAGCAATTTCTTCAAATGTTTCGTTGAAGATATGGGTTGTTTGTATATTTATGTGATTGAGAAAATCCAGATTCGGGTTTTATTTGATTAGTGAATGGGAAACGTATTTCCAAATCTTCTTCCAAGTGGGAAATCCATTAAATTTTTTTAATAATTTAAGGAAAGCCAGTTGATGTCAATGAATTAAGTCAGCCTTGATTTTGGTAATCAGAACTAAATTGATTTTAAATCAGGCAATTAGCTAGAGATAAACAAATTGCATGATAATTGTTATATATCCCTTTCATCTGATAAATTAGCTATACTTGAATGTAGAAAGTGATAATCACCGTTACCAATAAATTCTTTTTGCATAGTTTTTAATGGATTGCGGCATTGTAAAAGAATCTATTTAATATACATAGCTAATACAAGTCTAAAAGGCAACGAAAAGTCTTCCTTTTTAGTGATAACTTTACCAGTTCTTGTACAATCTGATGTTTATAAAATAAAACGAAGATGAAAATGTATTTTTATATGAAATAGAAGATGGTGACTTGAAAAATAATTAATGCAGGTATGCAGTACAAGAATGTTGATTGAATCCACGGAATAATCAGCCTTATTGTGTGATGGGCATGAATTGATGGATTACTTTACAGGCTCATAGTTCCTAATTGGACTATCGGCTTCATACCATCAATTTTGCTTGCTAGAGTAGTGACAAAGACAACTTGCCCACTGGCTGATGTCTTCATCGTCCAGATTTTACTTACTGGCTGGCTGATGTGATGATTGAATCCACGGAAAGAAGAATTGTTTGGGTTTTGTTGAGGGTCCGTAAAAGAAATTATCCAAGCGGGAGAAAATCGAATGGCTCACTTCAATTTCATTGGACTATTTAAAGCCCATCTTTACCTAACGTCTATCCCACACGTGTGGAGATCATTGTGCACAGTTCTCCAACGGCAACGGAAGACGTATTCCTTCTAATCGCTACCAGTTTTTCTCCGTCGATAACTTTCAGTTCAACACCGCCATGAATTTTCGTCTCCTCCGCTCTTATCCTGCCTCCTCCGTCGTCCAATTATTCCCTCTCTACCTTTCCCCTGCGCCTCACCGCTGTAGACTCTTCTTAGTTAGGTCCACTCTCACCTAAATCCTCACTATTAATCTTTTATAGTGTTTTTACTTTCAATTTAATTTCTTTTATCATCTGCTAGTATTTTTATTTTATTTGAAACTTTTTTTAAAAAAATCAGGTCGAATCTTCCTTTTCCAAATGAGAAAGCCAAGTACCACAGAGAACTTGAAGCCGCCGTGAAGGTCGTGGAGAGTGCTTGTCGTCTTTGCGCGGTCGTAAATCCATTCAAAAACTTGAATCTAACCTCCTGTTCTTTAGCCACTTTCTTGGTTGCATTAATTATGATATGTATTTTCTTACGTTTATATTTTTTCTGATTTTAAAAAGATTCATTTTTTTACTATTTATTTTTGGATTATAGGTGCAAAGGTCTCTGTTCTCTGCTGAAGGGCAGATTGTCGAAAAGAAATACCAAACTCCGGTCACAGTGGCAGATTTTGGGGTCCAGGCACTTGTTAGTTTAGGTACTTTCATTAATGCCTCAATGTAGTATGATAATTGTTCTGTTTGTTGAATGTTTTGCTTAATTACTAGGATCTGAAAACAAAAGGCTTGAATTTTTAAACAGATTCTGGCGTACAGTAATAAGCTTTTTCCATAGTTGAATTCACTTTGTGACTTATGAGTAGACTTTATAATTCAGTCCTATTTTCCATTGAAAAATATATGATCTATGCTTTCGAATATGTGTATGTATATGATTTATGATGTACTGCTGTGGCATGGCAAATCAAGCGGTGCTTATTGGTTGATTAACAAGTCTAAACAGTTGAAACTAAACTTGTGTTTCTTCTTTGCTTTCGGTGATAGAATTAAGTAAATTATTCCCTTCAATTCCATTGGTGGCGGAGGAGGACTCTAGTTTTATACGTTCAAACAATCTGGTGGATCCTGTAGTAAGTGCAGTATCTGATAAAACAAGCATTGATGAGGATTCATTGTCACATGATGATGTCCTGGAAGCAATTGACAGAAGGGGAAAGAATGCTTTTGCTACGGGAACAAAACCAGCCACATATTGGGTACAAGCTTCATAGGCTTACCTGTAAACTGCGGTTTTAATTTCTGCTGATGGAAAAGTAAAAAATATTTTCCAGGTGATATGATTGCAGTGTACTTTATTGACATGATTAAGTCCACGAACTTGATGCAGATACTAGATCCAATTGATGGCACCCGGGGGTTTGTAAAAGGAAGTCCAGCCTTATATGTGGTATGACTTGCATTCTGCTTCAATTTACCTTTTTTAAAAAAATTGAAATGTTGTCTAAGTGCCATGAATTATCTTGTAAATTTAGTAGGTCTAGCGCAGAAAAATAAAGTGCCTCATTCACTTTGGCCTATTAAACAAGTCTTACTAGAGTAACACCATTCCGTTGCACATTAATGATGCATTACAATCAAATTCAACATTTTCTGTTCTGGCTTATTTTCTGCAACGAAACCAGCATTTGAGAAGTAAGGCATATTTTGAAAATTTTCAGGTAGGTTTATCTCTAGTTGTTGAAGGAGATATTGTGTTAGGTGTCATGGGCTGCCCTAACTGGGTTGTAGATACTTCTTTCCAGTCTACCACAGATACCCAAGGTTATAAACATAGTTATCTTCCATTGGGTATCATTATGGTTGCTCATGTTGGCTGTGGAACATGGACAAAGAGGTTAAAGTGTATGCTTGATTGCTCAACTAAAATTTCATCTGATAGGACCAGATGCTTTGTTGATAGTTATTCTTTGGTATCCAATGCCCGCTTCTGTATTCCAGAGAGTCAAACATGGGAGTCACTGCCATTATCAGTTTTGTACAAAGCAAGAATTGATGATGAGAATGTAGGGGATAAGGAAATCCGTCTTTTGTCCGCATTTTGTGGAAGGTTTGTTGTTTTTCCATGCCGAGCTTAATGTTTTCCTACTTGTATGATTTTCCGTTCAGATTTCACCTGTTATCTAAACAAAGGTATTCTTTTTCCTGATATTTATTTGTTTTCTTGGTGATTAGACTTTCTATTTTGAAAGTGTTCATTGCGTGTGCTTGATATTCATATATTCTTTGTCTGCAGTTTATGCAAGTACTTAATGGTGGCTTCAGGTCGGGCATCTGTTTTCATTCTTCGAGCAAGATCTGAAAAAGTTATCAGGGTATAATCTTGGTTATAGTTAATTGAACACATAAATCAAGTTGTGATATTTAACTCATCTTCTTGGCGACAAAATAGGTTTGGGACCATGCTGTTGGTATGATATGCGTGTATGAAGCTGGACGAAAGGTAAGTGTTAGATCTCATCCCAAACAGAAGAATGTCATCTTGTGGTGGTGATCATTATGGGAGGCATTTTCTAATTGTTTTCGCGTTGCCTTTTCTGCATGGAGCCAATAATGGGAAGACACACTTCCATATGACATACAGACATAGTTCATCTTCCTTACCCTAGATGTCGTTGCTTTATTTGTTTTGGGGGCCACTTCTCTCGTTTTTTGCCCAACCTACCCTCCTTTTAGTTTGGTTCAGTTTATGCCCAGTTCCATGTTTCTAACATCTAACATTGTACATCAAATTGACACCGTTGATTCAGGTGACAGATTGGAACGGAAGTGAGCTCGATCTTGCCACTGATCAAATTGAAAGGAGCATATACCCTGCGGGTGGGATTCTGGTGACTAATGGGACCATCCATAATCAGATACTGCACATGATATCTTCCATTTCAACCGTAGTCTGACATCGAGCCATACCGAATGGGTATTCATGTTCCTTTGTTCGATTCTTTGAATGCCATTTAGGTTACATCAAGACCTGCCTTTTTTTAAATTAAAATTTAGTTCCATATTCAAAGGATAAATTGAAAAAAAATTGAAATTATTCATTCGCCATTGAATTTTTTTAAAGAAAGTCTCTTCTAGCCTAGACAAACTTGGTCCCCCAAAAAAGAGTATTTGACAAATAAGGTCTTTTTCTCTTGTTTCTCTCTTTTGATGTTTTCTTGAGAATACGAGATTGACAATTCATTGGGGCTATCTATGTAATCAACGTTGCTTGTAATTGAAATCACTGCCTTTGAAATTAAGTTTCCATATAGTTTCTCTTTAGTAAATGTCTTTTTAGGGACCGTATGTTTGTCTCTTAATAGAATCATTTAGCGTTGAATGCTGAACGTTTGCCTCTTAATGGAATCATTCAGCGCTGAATGTTGAACCATTCAACATTTAACGCTTTTGTTTCGTACCTCTGAATGATTCAGTGTTGACTGATTCAGCAAAACAGTATTGACTGATTCAGCAAAACAGTGCTGAATGATTCAGCACAGAAGTACATTCTGAATGATTCAGAGCTATTATCAAACAGCATGTCACATTCAGAGCTAATTCATACAGAGCCTCTGAATCATTCAACATTTGAATCATTCAGCTCTTAATCATTCTGAAGTAAATAAACAGCCCCTTAGTGTTTACACTTGTTAACACGATATATATAATTAACACCTAGATAAATTTGTTTATTTTAAGAAAATTTCTGTATAATTTATTTTATAAAATATATTTTTATAATATAATTTTTTTTATAAAATTAATATATTTTAATTTATATTTCAATTAGGGTTGAACAGTAGAATCGAGAAAATCGAAAAACTGATTTAAATCGGACTATGCGGTTTGGATTTTTCAATTTTCAATTCGATTTTGGTTTGGTTTAAAAAAATAAATGTACAATTTGGTTCGGTTTCGGTTTTTTATATGGAAATTATTTGAACCGAATCAAATCGAATTAAAAAAATAAAAGAAAATAAGTATATGAATCAAATTCATTTTGAATTTATTGTAAGACAAATTTAAATGAATGAAATCTTAAAACTAATAATATTTTTTATAAATTTAAATTTATATATTTGCTATGCATTTAAGCTTTAATTTTTTTTTTGGTTGAGATTGAAAAATATTGAACAATCAAAAATCAAAAAATTGGATTGAACCAAACCGAATCGAAAACTAAGGTTTTTATGCAATTCGGTTTCAATTTTTAGAAACCCGCAAAGTACAATTCGAATCATATTTTAGTGAAAAATCAAACCGAACCGAATACACCCCTAATTTTAGTCGATGTTATAGATATTTTTTCTATTAATATGGGGTAAGTGCAATATAATATATGTTCGTAGATATATTCTTATATATATTTTATAATTGCATAAAGTACATAAACGATCCCCTACTATATAATATTATTTTATTAAGTCATTTGACTATTAAAAGTTACAAAATGATCCCTTGATTATAGGGCATGTTTTGTAAAGTCACTTAACTATTAAAAGTTATAAAATTATTATCTCAATATTCATGTTCCAAACTCGTCTTTTTTGTTAATAAATTGACGAGTTTTTGAATTGGATGTTAACACGTTGATTAAGACGAGATAAAATTTGATCCTATAACTGTTTGAGCTATATTTTGTGGATCATATTTTATCATATCTCAATCCATAATCAAGTGACTATTTTGTAAGTTTTAATAATCAGGAAACTCAACAAAGTAATACCCTATAATTAAAGAACTATTTTTTAAGTTTTAATAATCATGGGACTCAACAAAACAATACTCTATAACAAAAGAATTATTTTATAATTTTTAATAATCAAGGAATTCAATAAAACAATACCCTATAAGCATGATACAATTTGTATACTATACTCTTTATAATTTATGTTAGTATTAATATTTTTTATACAATTTAATTTAAATATTATTTTGAATAATTATGTATCAACTATTCAACTGGAAATGCTGAAAACAAGGGATGGTAACGGGTCGGGTTTTTTGTCAACCTGATCTGACCTGAAATTATGTATTCTCCGTTGGAACTCAATCCGACTTGATCCTAAAAATATATATCCTTCAACCCTACCCACATTTTTAGTGTATAAATTTAACCCGACTAGGCCCAAATAAAAAAAATAAAAATTTAATTAAAAATAATATTTTTTAAGGAAATTCCACTATTATCTTCGGGTCGGATCGGGTCAGATTTTTTTCACCCTCCACCTGAACCAGACCTCGACCCTTAAAAAATTAGACCCGACCCAAATCTGATTTTTTTATAAAAAAAATATGACTATTTGGTCAGGTCGAAACCCGTCGAATTTGGATTACATCCCTACTGAAAACATTTAATAAATTATTTGATCAATAAAGTAATAAATTATATTATTTTATTAGAAAACAATATAATTTATTAAATTAATAGTTGATATGATGTAATAATATTTTCGATTAACATAGCGTTTGTGCTAATGTCTACAATAATTATTACTGTTATATAATTAATAATTTCATTTGAAAAATAAAAAAATATTTGATCAAAATTAAAATTTTAAAAATTAAAATGTTTGAAAAATAAAAATGAAAGATTGTTTTTAACCTTATACCTTCAATGTTTTTTTTTTGAAGCAATGGAGCAGCTCGCAACAGAAACAAAAGTCATCATTGTCATCAATAATTATTTATAATCTTTAGATGGCCTAATAAATTTATATTTTCAGCTAAATTACGACATGAAAAATGAACGTGTATGCAACTTCTTTTGAAACCCTGCGCACAAGCAAACCCTGGATTTTGGAACGCAATTAAACTTTATGTTCACATCATACATATATATATATATATATATATATATATATATATATATATATATATATATATATATATAATGCGTAATCACATTTAATCCATTAATTAAATTATTCATCTTTATTTTTTATATTCTTTTTCCTAAATCTTTCTTCCTTTTCCCTCCTATTAAAACTAAAATTAGAATTAGAAATTATCAAAATAATAATAATATAATGGATTAAATATAAAATAAATGTCTAAACTATTTTTTGACCCATTTAGGTGCTTAAAGTTATCGCTTTAGGTGCTCAGGCCGTAACGGCCATTAAATGAAAATTGTTATCCATTCATTTCCTGACACGTGGCCATTATTTGAATTTGGTTTAAGTATAAAATAAGTGCCCAAATTATGCTATTTTTTCGAATAGGTGCCTATAGTATTTTTCGGCCCATCCAGGTACCTAAGTTATAAATGTTATCACTGTAGGTGTATGGCGTTACAAACGTTACCACTTTAGTTGCCTCTCGGTGTTAACCGTCGTTAAAAACCCCCATTAAGTGACACATGTCATAATTTGGTAATTTTAAAATTTTCTTTAAAAAACTTAAAATATTTTATTTGTGAAAACCCCCATTTTTCCTAAAATACCAAAAAACCAAAACTCTTAAAATCTCTTATTTTAGTCTCATTTACTCCAACAACCGATCATCTCTGGCCACCCATTCGTAGGCGGCAGACCACCCATATGTCATCAACCACCCACTAACCGGTTACAACTCTTAATATCATCTCAAAACCTAAAATTCTCAAATCCCTAAAATCCCAAATACTCAATCCCTTAAATTCATTTCATTAATAGTGGTAATCGGCTGTCGAAATTGACCCTTGAGCCATTTGATCGATTGTTCGTTTGGCCATGAAAATTAAAATGATGAAATGAGAGGGGAGGGAGGTAGGGGAGGGAGGGAGGGCAAAGGAGGGGAAGCATGCATTTTTCTAAAAATATTTTTATTTTTTTAAAAATAAATATTTCAAAATTCTAGGTTTTGTGACACGTGTCATTTAACGGGGGTTTTTAATGTCCATTAACACCGAAGCATCTAAAGTAGTAACGTTTATAACTCAATCAACTAGATGGGCCGAAAAAATACTATAAGCACCTATTCGGAAAAAAGATATAGTTTGACACTTGTTTTATACTTAAGCCAATTTCAAATCATTATATTGAAAATTTTGATATTTTGATATAACAAATTAAGTTAAATGAATTTTAAGATTTTACACAACAAAAAAATTCTAAGTATATTCGATAAATTATTCGAATATCAAAATATTACTCCAAGTCTTTTAAAGTTCATTTTAATCCTTACTAAAGTGTAAAAATATGTTTTAAGCTTCTAAACAAATTTACAAAGTATTTTGAGCCTTAATCGAGCAAAAACACATTTCTTAATAAATCTCAAACCAAAATGGGCAGATTGCCCAGAGGGAACCGATTCTCCCCTAGGGGGTACCGATTCTCCCCTGAATGGTTTGGCTCCGAGAAATAACAGATTGCTCGGAGGGAAACGATTCCTCCCAGGGGGTACCGATTCCCCCACGCTCCAAGCAGTTTTATTAATTGTTTTCACACTTAAACGACTCTATTGACTCCACTAATCATCCCCAACTTTGAGAATCAATTGAAGGAGTATTTAAACAAGCTTAGAAGACATTGATCAAAAACAAGAAATAATAATCAACAAGAATCAAGAGAGAATCAAAGAGAAAGCATCAAACCTCAAGTTTGAGCATTTTCAAGCCTATTTCATTCAATATTCATTTTTGCTTTCAAGAACACTTATTGTGCTCAATTGTATTATTCTTGAGTGTTCTTTCTTTGTTCTAGAATTGTACAAACATCTTGCATTGTGAGGATTTTCTTGTAAGTTTGCAAAATTTGTATTGTTCTCTTTGGGAGAGAGAGTATTCTCAAGAATTTGGGGTATAATTCTTGAGGGATTTGTAAGGGTACTCTTTGTCCTCAAAAGAAAGACAAATTAGTGAATTTGTGGAAAATTCTTAGTGTGGATAGCTAAGGTAGTGGACTTAGACTTTGGTTGAGAAAGTCGAACCACTCTAAATCGCTGTGCAAATATTTTCAATTTTCTACAAAAGCTTCCACCGAAATTTTAATTATCAATTCACCCCCTCTTGGCTATATTCGTCAATCGATTAACTCAATAATTGGTATCAGAGCCTTACTCATTTGAAAGTTTAATCGCCTTTTGAGTCGATTCGGGAAGAGTTACATCGATATTCAAGTCATC